TTGAAGTAATCTGCTATGTGAATCCCTATTTTCTGAAAACGGAGTAGAGATACCATTTTTTTTTTTTTTTTTTTTTTTTGGTAATGTCCTTTCATTCCAGCTGTGAAATCGACAAAGTGAAATTAATACACAATCCTTTGATCTGGAGATGTTCACAAGGTTTCTGCAATAAAAAATATCACTGACTTGTACTTTGACTGCAGCAGGTTGGAGAGAAACTCATTATCAAAGTAAAGCAATTTTACCTCAATGAACATAAAATATGCCTTAAAGAAACATCTAATTTATATATTAGCATAATGAATGTTATCTTTCCAAAGATATTAATAATTTTACACGCATACATCCATTAGATATATGTATGGAATAGATGTTATTCCCACAACTTTTGGTTGGTAATCTCCCCTACAAATGGTTTTGAAATGTATATCCATCATACACACTTGGATTTTAGCTAATATTTGTTTATTTAGTTCATAAGTAAGTGATTATACTTTGGTTTATGTGAAAATAAAATTATGTGAAGAAGGAACCAGAAAGAAAATAGGACAAGAGAAAATAAACACAAAGCATAGTACAAAATGATACATAATTTATATTGCATTAGTTACAAAGAAAGGAAGAAAAAAAAAATATTGGCTCCGACATCAGAAAAGTCAGGCATAATAGAAAAAGAAAAAAAAAACACTTCCAAATTTTGTTGGAAATTAAAAAAGAGAAGAGAAAGTAGAATAGAGTTGCATACAAAATAAAATTTGTAGAAAAAGAATTGACAATGCTTATTTTAAAGGGTATTAAATGAAAGAATTGGTTTCTGATATTAGAGTTGTGATGGTAAAGTTGAGAGAGAAAATACAAACTTGAATTACTAGAGATTTAATCAAATTAAAGCCAGTAAAAACTTGGCAATTTGCTTCTGCAGAAAATTGCACAAAAAGAGTTTATTAAATTATTTTTTGGACGGTTAAACCAAGTGGAAAAAAAAAAGAATGGTGACAATGGTAATTGCTAGTGTTAACATGCAAGCATCTAACAAATGACAAATCAGAGTGAATATCTACAAGGGAGATAACTGTGGGCAATTTTGTAAGAGTAAGTTTTTGGGACGATCAGTTGCGAAAATTCTAAATTGAGTGTAGATGGCCGGATTGTGAAGAGAAAAAAAAAAAATTATTTTTCCTCTCTGTTTAATCGGTTTTCCAAAGATCAAAATCTTTTCCTTTTGCTCCAAATGCAGTCGAAATTGTGTGTCACCCGTTTTGGAGAAAATTTCCGACATTGTGGAAAGTACATATTTGGACAGAAATATTGAGAATACTTACGTTTTTTTTTTTTTTAAAACATTTTTGCCAAGAGAATGGAACTCACCGACACGAAAGGCGGCCATTATTACATTCAAATTTTATGTATATAAATTTAATATATATAAAAACGAAAAATTCAGAGACTAATTTTGTACAGAATAATTAAATCAATAGAATATTATAAGTAATAAATTCAAAACTTTGGAAACTAAGTCTTATACCCTGGTGAGTTCCAATTTTGATATGCGAAATAAGCTAGTAAATATCTATGGTGGTGTTTATGTGCTGGAAAGATGCAAAACAAGCAAGAAAGATTCGACTAAAAATCAATGGTGCAAGGGAGGTAATGGACAGAAAACACACACAGGGAAATGAGACGGATGGTACATTTTATTACACGGATGGTTACTTATCAAATTTCCAGATATCCCTCCTTTACATTTAATAAAGAAAAAAAAAATCAAAAAAAAAAAAAATCAATGCATATACAGTTGTCAAGCTCCCAAATCAGCATAACTTTCTCCCCTCTTCAGTCACCAGTAGAAAGAAAGAGACATTTGTTGCTTCTCCAATGAAGCAACCTTCACCAAATTAATCTTAATTTCTCTTTATAAAATTCAATAAAACTTACATTCCCAACAATTTTAAAGAACATTGACACAATGAGCAAAGAATTAAGAAAACTTGAAATGTCACTTAAACTACGTTGCAACAGAGATATTGATATGCAATGAATGTCTAAATACCACTATAATACAGAATCCCAAAATCCATTCCAATACGTCCAAGTATATTTTTATAATTAATCTTAAAATCATTCATTGTTTAAATAGCAAACTCAAGATGGATTTTTTTGTCTTTCCTAGTTAAACACTAGGAAAGACACTGCACTACAAAGTAATAACTGAATGTTTTTGGGTAATAGGAGGAATATTGTAGATTAATAAATTTAGCATACATTTTAGATTTTTTCACTAAGTTTAGAATAAATTAAATATCTAAATAATAATTATTAAATTTCTGAAACATTCCAAATGATTTGTTATTTTTATTTAAACATTCATACACCCAATAATTTTTAGATTTTTTCCATCCCACTTTCATAGTCATTAATTTTTTTTATTATATGCCCAACATTATTTGCTTCTCCCAAATTTTACCCCAAAGAAATTCCCTTCCAGAACCCAGCCCTCCCAAGAACTTTCATTTTGTAGATATTCCAAATTGCCAGAGTTAAAATATGAAGAATTATAAATTGAACTATAAAATAAATTTAAACAATTGAATTTTTGATTTTAAAATTATTTTCCCCAAACCTAATTTTGAAATTATTTTTCCCAAACTCAAAAAGGTAGGAGTTTTAAAATATTTAATGTTAATCTTTTATTAAAGGAATTATTTAAGAAATAAATTAAATCTGAATCCAGGATGTAATTGTTTATCATTCAAAACAAAATATAGCTTCAGTTATTTAAAATGTACAAGAGTGGGAAATTCAAAATTTATTTGCCAACAAAAATATGTCTGTACAAATTTGACAATTTCCCCACAAAGTGTTAGAATGAGATTTATAGAAAGAACATTTTTTAAATCTCTACAGAGACGACTTGACAATTACTAGAAACAGAAGAATGTTGAATGTAAACATTTACTGAAATAATAAATAGAAACTGATATTGATGCTTTATTTAGTAATGAAAATGCATGTTTTAGTAAGCCCCAAAACTGTTGTTTAGGGTTTAAATTATTATTTTAAAGCTGAAAAAAAAAAAAAAAAAAAAAAAAAAAAATGAATATCTTTAAGAGAATCAAGATTTTTTTTGCAAGAAATCTTTCATGTCAATGAAAACAGAAAATATATATATATTTCAAGTATTGAAAACTGATATATTAAATTGAAGCATTATAATCTGAACTATTTTTTCCAGAATGTCATTTTTCATTTAAGAAAATAACTGAAAGTGTATGTGTGTGCATACATTTGCTAATGTCAAATTCTACCATCATAAATTTGTTAACTATTATGCACAGACCCCAGAGGATCTCTTTTTACTACGAATTTATTGATAAACTAAAATTTCAAAAGAGATTTTAAAAGGGCAGCACAGAGATGATAAAGAAAAGAAATTAAAGTCATTTTAAAGGGATTTTTTTTATAGTCTGAAAAATAACTGCTTAGAAAAAAGAAAGATTTTCAACATTTTTATTAGTAACTTCTGTTATACTTATTTATAGTTTCCTAACAGAAAAGTAAGTAAGTTGTAAGTAGTTAAATACTTATGAAACGATAAAATTAACTTCCCCACTCGCAATTATATTTCAATGCAGGAACGAAAAAATTTATTTTTTAATTACAGAAAGGAGAAAGTTGTAAAAGGGAGATAATCTGACAAAGATAAGCATGCACAAAGGGAGACAACTGTCAAGGGGCAAGACAGGCATAAAACAACAGAGGGGCAAAAAAGACTCACAAATAAGCAATGTCTTTATTGAGGCTCGACATTTCTCGTTTATTTTAAACATTGTCAATTTGTTAAATAGTTTATTCCTATATAATTTTTGACTCATAATTTTTTGAAGCCGTTTATAATCAAATAATTTTAGAAAAGGTATCCCAAAAACAAATTTTAAAAAATACTGCTCAATTGAATTTTTTCTTTTTAAAACTTCTTTTTTGCTGATTAAGAAAAAAGAAAAAAAAATGAGATATTTGCATGCGTTTATATATATATATATATATATATATATATATATATATATATATATATAATGAAGATCATACTTCAACCCCATGTACCCCCACCCCGCTTGTTGGAAAGTGTTTTTCTTTTTCCTTTTTTTAATTATTTTATAGCCCTAAAAACTGTGCAGACTTAAAGCAGAGAAGTGAGTGCTAAAGTGTAGCTGTGAGTGCAAATTAAGATTTAAATGCCCAAATGGACATAAAAATATTGAAGCCATCATGGCTGCCATTTTTGGGGGACTAAACTTTAAACCTCTCAAAGAACTTTTTTTGGAATTTGAAGAAGGTAGGAAATATTTACTTCATTATCATAGGAGTATGAGCTTAGATTTTTTTCCCGTTATAATCACAGAGGATACGAAAAAGCTACACTGCGTCTCTTCACATGCAAGCAACACCCATATACACTGTGTGGGTGTGCATAGATTTTGGAGTGGAGAGTTAAAGAATACATGCAGATATGTATGTGTATAGATATACGCACACAAACCTTTAATATACATGTGTACACAAATATATACACAAAAACATATATGCATATGTATTTAAGAGATTACATACATATATATATATATATATATATATATATATATATATATATATATATATATATGTACACAAGGTATGTGTGTATAAATAATTTTAGGAATTTTAAACTTTCTTTGAACAGTCTTTTTTTGGCAGCCTTCATTTGAAGGTTGATGCATTACTCAAGAAAATAAGATGTTTGTAATGTTTGGATAACATTTTTAAAAAAATTGTCTTTTTTGTCGCTTATCACAGACAAGGTAGGGAAGGTCCATTTTGTGCTGGAAGGTTTTTTTGTTGTTTTTGTTTCCTACAGAGAAAAATGAGACTGCAGCAGGCGGGCAGTGAAGAAAGGTTCCCCTTATGCCTTGGTAATTGGATGGCTCTTTCCTCTTTGCTGCTGCAGGGTGGTAGTTGACCATGCTTCACACGACACTCCACTCAAGAATTGCCATGTCCTTTCCTCCAACTGAGATTAGACGGGAATCATCATGAAGGAAGGAGACGTTAGTTACATGACTGCTGTGACCCCCATAAGTGTGTGCTTTTGCCTAAGAGGAAAAGAAAACAAAGAAATAATTGTTCAAGAGTGAAACACTGACATTTCTTTTAATTACAATTTATAACTGTCTATGCACATCTATACACATACATGCCTGCAGATTCTCATTAAATATTCACACAAACACACTTTATTCAATACCAATATATAATAGCTTGAATTAATAAAAAAATAATAAAAAAATTAATTTTCTGGCAAAAATCCAATATTTGTGTTAGAATCAATGCTTAGTTCTGCTTTATTGATTATGCAAGAGGATCCCTGCAGGTAATAGACCGGGTGGTTAAGACATAAAAAAGGACTATAGCATAAAAGAAAAGAGAAGTGAAGGAGAAGGAAGTTAAAAAAAAAAAAAAAGGCTAAAGGCAAGGAGAAAGAGAACAAAATGATCAGCAAGGAGAAGGCAGAAGACATCAATGGTTAGGACAAAGGCTGGAGAGGAGGAGGAGAACAATGGTTAGGATAAAGGCTGAGGAGGACGACAATGCCAACAATGGCTGGAGAGGAGGAGGAAGAAAGCAACAATGGTCATGAGAAAAAGGATGACAACAATGGCGACAATAAAAGCTGAAGAGGAGGAGGAAGGCAATAATGGCTGAGGTGGGGGAAAAGACAAATATGGCCAAAATATACTTTTAGATACTCACCAAGGGTTGGCTACATGGGTATTTGTAGAGATTGACTTTACCAAAGTCATCAGCAGTTGCCACCAATTGTTTAATATTATGAGAGCGGCAACAAGCATTTATGTCTGTACCATCGGCACCATCAGGCCAAATACCTAAAAAAAAAAAAAAAATGTCAAAAAGTAAAATTTATTCACCACCATTGTTTGTCAATGAATATTAATAATGAACATTTTAAACACTGGCCAGGATAATTCCAGATATAAAAACAAGATAGAATAGCAACTTTTTCATAGTTAAAAATATTTGCAGCAATTTCAAAGACTGTATTTCCATGAATATCTATGTATATACATATACACACATAAATCTTGTTTCCTTTTATAAGATAACATTCTAATTTACTAACATTTAACTTTAATATTATTATGTGCCATAAATTCCAATTACAAAACAATGTGAGGAATGTTCAGAGGACAAGTATTTTTCCTCATTTTTTCATTAATAATTATATTTTGTGCTGCCTTTACCAAAAACACACCTTAAGTTTCTCTTAGTGGGTTACATTCATTAATGTAACAAGATGTACATATTGCTTGGCAATCATTGTTTATACCATTTTATTCTACAAGCTATGGCAGAAATACCTCTCACATAATGGCAACATTAGTGGCAATGGTGTCTTCATCAAGCTAATGTCTTTCCAAATTGCTAGTGCACTCTCTAGTGAGAGCAAAAGGTTGAGTAATGAATTAATGGTTTAAATTATCCTACTGTCACTCTAACAGATGAAGTGACTAGATTGCTACATTTAAATTGAGAATCTCCAATGAAAATATCTATTTTTTTTTATTGAAGTTGGTTTGTAAAAAAAACAAAAAAAAAAACATACCTGCTAAGTTAAAACTCAAGGTACAAGAATTGGTGGCCCATTCAAGTTCTCGAATGGTGGATGGTGTTGTCTGCTGCTTACAAGTTGACACTGTCCCTGAAAACGGAAATAATTCAACAAATATAAGTTTCAGAATTATAAATTCAAGAGGTTCATAAAAAAAAGAAGCCATTAAATATTTTTGATTATTCATAGCAGTGATTTGTAAAACATTTGCTCCAATAAAAGATGAAAGTAATTCAAGTAAACATATTTGGAAATTATTATTATTTGCTAAAGAATTGATTAAATCCAAGTATGTGCTTGTGTGTATGTATGTGGAGCATCCAGTGAGATCCAAATTCATTTGTAATGATATAAATGCTACAAAACAAAAAACAAAAAAATGAAATCAAGAAATTAATGACTGCTTTTGTCAAGAGCAAGATGAGAGTTAACGTAGGTACCTCCACGAAATCGCTTTTTTTATCATGCTATGCTCTTTTTTTAGCGATCTCGTGGAGGTACCTAAGTTAACGATGGTGGTGGGGAGCATATCTATTAGACAAATTATTAAACTTACTGTAATTTTACAAATTAAAATTTTGACTTTAATATGCACCAGAATTGTTTTTTATTTGTAAATCTTATTTGCCTCTGTATAACCTGTAACTGTTTTTAATTGCTGAAAAAAATGTTGATAGAACATTGGATTGAAATAAAAAAAAAAAAATACTGCATCAATATCATTGAAACACTTCTTGTAATTTTAGGTTTATCAGAAAGAAATCTAAAAATTTCAAAGTTACAGAAAATGCTAACAAGCTGCTGTTAGAATTTAAGAATAGCAATATATTTGAAAATATACCCACAATGAAGTACAATGAATCTTTTACATAAAAATAATTTTCAGATACAATTACTTCGTATAAATGACCACAAGTACACAAATTTATCTGAATCTTAACAAGATCAGTTATGCACAAGCAAGATATTTTTAATGAAATGTTTTATACACATGTAAACATTATATATTTAATATCTAATTTTTCATCCCAAAAATTAGTTTACACTGTATTTTATGTTTTTAATCAAATTGAATCAGTGAATTCCCTTTAAGTAGCATGAGTGATTTTCACTGAAGCAGAAGTTACTTACAAAAAAGGACTTCATAATCTCCAGAGTTGCTCTGAATATATTGACTGCATGTTGACCAATCCAAGTGAGTAATAAAACTGGAATGACCCTGAAATATCAAAGGTGGGAAGTGAGAATAAGTATTGAAATCATTTTTTTTAGGGGGGGGGGGGAGAAAAAGAATGTGAGAATTAATTAAATAAAATTTAAAAAAAAAAAAAGAAAAGAAAAATATTGTTTGTTGAAAAGCAGGAAAAAAAGCAGTTGTACTGAAAAATGCAGAGAAAAAAAAAGGAAGTTTGGGGACAAGTTTTGAAATTCAATGGTATAAAGCCGGTATCATAAAAATAAAATATAAATTAAAAGCTGATACTTGTATTATATTAGATCATTGCAAAAGAAAATTTTAAAAAAAAATTAAAAATACTCCCTAAAAAAAAAAAAAAAAAAAATTATCAGTCAAGTACATATTTGTTAAAAACAATGCTGTCTTCCATTGTTTTACAAGCTTGATGCCATTTTCATATAAACTTAAAATTTTTTTTATCAGAAGAAGTTAGGAAGTTTTTGACTGTATTTTTTGTCATTTAAATTTTTCTGTTGAGATCAGAACAAATGAAAATTTGAAGAGCCAAGTCAGAAAATGGTGGGTGCTGGAGGGTTTCCAATTTCAACTCTTTAAGGTTCATTTTGAAACATGTGGCCTTGTGTTGTCATGGTGGAAAATGACAGGTTTTCAGTTTGCCAAAATCGTCCGTTTTTCTTGAATAGCTGCATTGAGATTGATGAGTTGGTCGCAATATTTCTTTGCAGTTATTGTTTCAACAGCTGGAAGAAGTTCAAATTCCTCTGCCATCCCACCAAACCCACAGCAATAGCTTCACTGAATGCACGCCCAATTAGCCACATGTTCTGCACATTGACAATCTTGTTTCCAGCTGTGTTTGTATCAAGCATTATCATAACTAATCCATTTTTCATCACCTGTAATAATTCAGTCCAAGAATGGCTTCTTTTCATGGTATAGCAATAAAGAAATTGCTGCTGCAGAAATATAATTGAGCTTGTTCTGTTCCATCAGAGAATGTAGCACACATGTATTGAGTTTGGAAATGAACCAAAGTCTCTTCAAATGTGGAAAGGAATTTGAGATATTGATTTTCAAACTTGTAGTCATCTTTTATAGCAAAATCTTTGGTTTACTCTCCATGATGGCAAGCAGTGTGTCTTCATCAACATCGGATGGTTTCTTGGGGTGTGGTTGAGAATTTAGGTTAAAATACCCTGATGAAATCTTCCAAACCACTTTTTGACTATCCGAAGAGCTAGGACACAATCCAAATAAACCTTTTGAATGTTTTTGCTGTAGATCTGATGCTTTGTCCTTTCTGGAATTTATGGCAAAAGTACAACTTTTCATTCTGCATCTTTAAGGCATTCATTTGTAGACAAATATCAACAATCAACAAAGTTTGACTCGCAACTGAACAATGCAAGGTTTCAATCTAGAACACACTAGAAAATGGCACCAAAACAAACACCAGTGTCAAGTTGGGCTCATTTTATATTAACAACTATCTGAATTACCTGTTCCTTGCTGTGTGTCACATGTTTTTGTAAGAAAATGATTGATTTTAAATGAAAAATGATGATTCACTATTACTCAATGATCCTACTTTATGTGACCTCCATCTTCTGGCTTTCTCCTATATTTTGGACAGGAGTTATGCCCTTGTTCAAATTTAAATTTAATTTAAATCAAAGAGAAAAAAACTTTCAGTAGAGAGTTTGTGCAAAAACAGCTTTATTTGATGCAATACTTGATCGAATGAATTGATTCAATATTGATATGACAGTTGAATTATTGCAACAAATATTTATTGTAAGGCACTGGTGATTTCTTGCTCAACTTGACGTCTATATTGTCTCATTTTGATCTTGCTGATATAACTTTCATCTTCTGGCTTTCTCCTATATATTCCCTTGTTCAAACTTAAATTTAATTTAAATCAAAGGGAATAAAATTTTCAGGCGGGGGGTGGGGATGTTCCTCAGAGAGACCCCTTTTGATCAAAATGAAATATACTTATCCAAGTAACCTAGGAATCATTCCCTTGTTCAAATTTATATCAAAGAGAAAAAAATTTTCAGTGGGGGGTGGCGGAGTTTGTGTCCTCGGGGGATCCCTGTTGATCAAAATGAAATATACTTATCCAATTACCCTGAGTAATATAATTTCAGTATATATATATATATATATATATATATATATATATATGGTTAGTGGGGGGAGGGGTGGCTCTATCTCCAAAATCCTAGGAGGAGTTCAATAACAAACAGACAGACAGACAGAGGCTATATATACATATATAAAAATTGGACAAAATTTTGCAATGATTTAATATATATAACAAAGTGGTGTGTTCATTTTCATGGTTGTCAGCAAAAAAAAAAAAAAAAAAAAAAGTAAAAAAAATAAAGCTTTTGACAACAAGAAATGAAAAACATTTGTAATCTGTATTTTCTTTTTTATTAAAGTATTCAGATGTGTTGTCAAGAATTTTATTTTCATGTTATATTTATGAGTTATTTATGCTGTTATATTTATCATAAAGAGAATTTTATGATCCCATCACTAAACTAAATCAATGTTACTGTTTACAAATAAGTATTTCATTTATCATCAGCAGTAAATAAATTATCAAAATCCTAGTAAATCAGGAAAACATCACTTACGGTGCATCTGCCAAGTCTAGAATATTTATTTCCTCCTTCTGAGACTTGATGGATGTAAATACTATTGTCCCTTGATCCAACAGCCAAATAGTTGCCATCTACAGAAATAGTAAACAAATATATAATGTATTCATTCATTTCATTTGCATCTGACTATAAAACCAACATTTGCAAACTCTCCACCATTATGATTATAAATAAAATTGAAAATTAATATTATAAGAAAACAAATTTTATAAGAAACAAATTATTGGCACAGAAAAAACATATTCATTAATCTAAATTTTTAAACAATCAAAACAAGAGGCTATAATGTAAAAAAAAAAATCGTGTTTAAGATTGTTGAGAAAAACTAATTCCATCATCATTTTTTTTTTTTGCTCTACTGGATTTTTCTCTTTCATTCAATGTCTTTTGCTTTTATTCTTACATAAAAGGTTTTCTTGAGGATAGCCAATTTTCCTTTCAGTACTGTATATATTTAAAACTGCTGATCAAGCTTAATATGTTATGACGGTGATTTCCTAAAAAAAAAAATCAAAAACAAATAAAACCCCTAAAAACAACAAGTTGGTTTTCTCAAAGATTCCTTCAAGTATCCCTTTCATTGTTTATTTATTTAAATACTGGTGGTTTGTTCTTCCACAGGATTTCATGTCATATTTATTCACATTCAGCAATTCTCAGGCCAGATTTAGATTTCTGTTCTCAGAAGAACAAACAAAACATTTTTATTGATAAAAACTAACTACATTTAAATTTAACAACTGTTAATCAACAAAACTTGTATATTCTACAATTTTATCAATCCTATTTTTTATTCAACTATTTGCATCTCTTGTTTTAAAAATATATATATTGTCATAATGATATTTACAAATGTTCCGAGTTGGCCCTAATAAGCACTGCATTTAGTCTGATTTTAACAATTTTTATTCTTCTACTGTGTTTCCATTTGTAGATTTCATCTTCATTACTTATAGTTTCTGCTGCTTTACTGGTAATAAATCTTGCCACATTTTAGTAATCAATTTTGTTCTTATTGGATGCATGAAGAAGTTTTAGAAATATTTCAAATACTTTCGTGTGACCAAAGTTTGTTTTTGTTTTTATGTTACACACAAACATTTTTAGTAAACTGACCTGGTTTGGTTATTTTACCAGCACATGAACCCTCTTGGGTCATTTAATGCTGAAAAACGAATTTCTGTTCAGTAAAATCTTATGAAGTTTTAAGTTTTAAACTTTGTGAAATAGAATTGGAAGCTAGTTGTATAGTTCATCTGAAGGTGACATTGTTTGAATTAAATTTTGGTGTTTAATTTACTTTTCCTCAGCTAGGTCAGAATGGTTTCTTCATTAACATTTTCAAAAAGATCTTTAAGGTTATTCACCTTATATAAAGGCGTTTATGGATAGGGCCAAATATGGCACAGTCCATCATAAAATATTTTATGGTGCATGTTTCCTGGCATACTATACATTTAAGTGGATCCTTGTCTTTTAGGAGAAAAGTGTGTGATATTAGTATAACCAATTCCAATTCTTGTTAAGATTTCTTCTCTTCAGGAAAGTCAAGTGTCTTATCCCAAGTGTAGGTTTGATTCTGTGCAATTTATTATTTGGATGAGTATTCCATAACTTTTGCCACTTATTTAAGATGCATGTATTACTGTTTTGAAATCTGTAGGAGGAACTTTTGTTTTTGATATATTCATTTTTAGTGATTCTTTAACTGTCTTATCTGTCTTTCCATTTCCCTGGATGCCTATATGGCTAAGGATCCAGCAGAATATGATGTGTTTTTGATTACAAAGTAAATTGATTTTGTTTAAGAGCTTGACTATAATAGGGTTGGTTATGTTTTTATGCTTCAGTGATGTAAGGACAGATATGGAGTAGAATATAATGAATCTGTTTGACTTACCCTCCGTGATAATGTCCAAAGCTAGGTCTATTGCCATAACTTCTGCACTAAAAAATAAGGATTTGTCAGGTAGGCACTTTTGAAATATCGTTTCATTCAGAATAGCTGAACATCCAACTAGCAATATTTTTGGAGCCATTGGTGTATATATATATATATATATATAATCTATATTTTTGTAGGATATTATGAATTTCTTTCATAAATACAGTTGTATCAGTTTCTATTTTAGAGTGTTTTGCCAGCCTTAATATTACAGTGGGCTGTTTTATTAACCAATGAGAAGTTTTGAGAGAATAGATTCAAGTATTAGAAAAGAGTTTATTTCAAGTTCATTGAAATTGTTTTCTATGCAGATGCCAAGAGGTTTAATGGCATTTTCCTTTAAATTATATAACTCTTTGTATTGAGATTGGAGAACATAGTTGTAAGCTGAATTATTTGGGCATGAACAAAGTTTAGTGTAATATTGCAGTACCAACTTATGTTGCCTTAATGCTAAAGGTGGCTCATGTGCTTCAGCATATAAGCTTTCAATCAGAAAAGTATTATATGCTCTTAAAACAAGTTGCAGACCCTGGTGATGGATGGTATTTAGTTCTTTCACATGTGATTTTATTGCTGCACCATAGATAAAGCATCCATTATCCAATTTGGATCTAACTAATATCTGATAAAGTTTCAGTAATGTCTGTCAGTTCTCCAGTCTTTGTGAGAGATGACTGAGTAGATGTATAGGTTTATCACATTTCTCCCGAAGGTATTTTATGTGATATGAAGGATAATTTTTTATAAAAAATTATTCCTCGGTATTTGTATTGATCTACTACAGGCACTTCTGACAGAAGTGTATACACCGAGTTTTTTGTTTGGAGAATCTGAATCCATTTTCTGTGGCCCATTTGTTTGCTTTATTGAGACACTGTTGAAGTTGTCAGATACTTTTTGATCTGTAACATATTAGAAAATCATCGACATACAGTACACAGTCAACTCCAGGGATCAAGCATTTAATGATGCCATTTATTTTGACATTGAAGAGCGTCACTAACAATATGCATCCATGAATGACACCCATTTCTTGTTCATATAGGTCTGATAGTATGGTACCAGTACAAACATTAAAGGTTCATTCTGTCAGGAAGTTATTAATAAGAATTGTCAGTTTTTCCTTTAAGTCTTTCATGATACCACATCTTTATGAGGGTATCATAGGATTTTTCCAGATCAAAGAATACAGTTGTTAAATGTTCTTTTTTTAAAATCAAAGAATTTCTGGCAAAAGACCAGGTAATCGATTGTGCTTTTATTCTTTCTGAAGTCAGCTTGGAAATTTGTAATTTTCTTATTAGCTTTAAGAAACCAAGTAAGCCTATTATTAACAATTCTTTCAAATGTTTTGTATAAACAATTTGTAAGTGTGATTGGACAATAGTTTGAGGAATCTTCTAAGTCTTTTCCTGGTTTTGGGATTGGAATTATGGTAGCTCACTTCCAGTAACTAGGAATATTACCACTGACCAATATGTTGTTGAAAATTTTGAGTAGGTAGTTTAAGGAAACATTTGGTAAGTTTTTTTAAGGAAACATTTGCTAAGTATTTTAATAATTCATAGTGAATTTCATCTGGGCCAACTGCTGAATTTTGTGATTTTATATAGAGTTTAGTAATTCTAGTAAAGTTGTAATTTTCATTATTGCTAAAATAGAAATTTAATTTTTCCTTCTCTTCTTTTGTTTTGATATTCTGAAATAGCTAAGTAGAATTTTTTGAGGAAGAGTTTTGAGAAAAATTTTGTAAACTGACCTGGAGAAAATTGGACACACTCAAGTTGTTCATTACCATCACAGTGGGTGGTGATAATTTCTCTTGTGGTCAAGTCTAGCACTAACCAACGCCCAGTCTGGGTGCCAATTACAGCCAACTGACCATCAGGATGGAAACAACAACAATGTGCAGAATCCTAGAAAAAAAAAAAAAAAAAAAGAAGCCATATATTTTTAGTTTCTTGGCAAAACATCTACATGGGTTATATAGTATGAAACATAACTAATTTACTTACATTTCCAAAGATCAACTTCTGGTTATGAATAATTTTAACATGCAGTAGTCTGAGGGTACAATAATTTAAAAAAAAAAAAAAAAAAAAAAAAAAGCTACAAGGATTTCATATTTTTGCAACCTTTTGGAACATCAGAATTAAAAATAAGTTCAATATCTTGCCCAAATATGACCTGAACTATGTTGAAGCTATTCATAAACATCTTTAGTCAACATTTAATTAGGTTTATTAAGATTAGCACAAAGCCAAATGATGTTTCCAAAGTATATCTTTTCAAGTTAAAAAAATAATTAGAGAGAGAGAGAGAGAGAATAAACCAAGGCAGTTTTTTTTCATATTTTTTTTTTTTTTAATTTGCAAAGATATGCTTTGGAATTATCATTTTGCTTTGCTAATCTTAATAAATCCAATAAAATGTTTACTAAATATATATATATATATATATATATATATGTGCTTGATGAGGAAAGAAAAAAAAACATCAAAATCTCCTATTTTCAACAGTGTAGTACAAATCAATATCATAATTAAAAATATTAAAACATATCTTCAATATCCTGGCTGCCACAAAGCTGTTAGTGTCTAAATGGTATTTGAGCAAATATTGTCATTGAATAATTTTTTCCATATCAACAAAAGCAACATTTTTATCTGTAGGTAACAAAGTCATGTGTGGCAAAATTAATGTATTTTGAAGGAATGCAGGAAACATGTAGCTTATTATAATTACCAATAGTTTTAATGATGACTGCTGATTATATTAGCATTTCTTAAAAAATATTAATCAAATTATTAGATCTTCACCTTAAAAAGAAAATCATTTATTAATGATTAAAGATAAAAAAATTACATTGATTTCTTTGCTCCAGACAACTGTGTGAGAGAGGCTATCCCATAGGTAAATGTGTTTATCATAACCACAGGTAAGAAATTGATTTTGAGTTGGGTGGGGAGACAGTGCCCACAATTCATCAATGTGACCCTGAAAGAAAAGAAAAATGTAAATACTTCACTTATTTCAATGCATGTTTCTTGTGTAGAATAAAATCCTCTCATAAAAATAGACAAAAATTATTATGATTCTTACAGCTTTCTGTTCAATGTTTGCAAATTATTAAAATAATAATGTTCAGCCAATAAAGGTAGAAGATTATTGTGTGGTGTTGAATAAGAGAAGGCAAAAACGTGCAGTTCATGGGGGTTATGTAAAAAAAAAAATAACAGTTAACTCTAGTCTTGAAGAGGTCAAGATTAGGAAAACATCTGTTCCACAAAACAGTAGTTCTTGAGAAGAACCTGTCCAAGTGGAATTTACTTCTTACAAATGAAATGAGGAGGATTCCTCCTTGTCTACGTGGCATGGAGGGTCCTAGTTGGAAAGGTCAGGGTTGGTGGGACAAAGGAATGTAGTTTGCCAGAACCCTTGCCATAGAAATAGTAATAAACTATCAAGAGGTATGTGATATTTTGTATTTGGGGAAAGGAGTTGTAAAGTGGAAAATACTCAACCACAGCTCCAGCTCAGATATAGCAGCAATACTCCATTTTTGGTCTGATCAAGCTCTTGTAATGGTAGAGTATAGCAGGGAGAGTCACATACTTACTGGAAAAAATGGTCAGTTCAATGTATCACTCCAGCATCTTTAACAATAGATTCTATATATGAGCTTCACTTGATGTTTTGGGTGAGCTTAAGTTCCAAGAGATATTCAAGGACATATAGGAAATTTAAGTGAATTTTTGAAAATTTGTTTGTGTGTATGCTTCTTGGCAAAAGACCCCCATCTTTTCAATTTCAGAAGCTTATTTTGTCCTTATGCACTCTTATGTAACACTTTAAACCTGCAGCCAACTGACATATTTTGTCATAAAAAGGACATAAATTTCCTAAGTTACTGTGGATGGCTGTCAATATAGTCTCCTTGGGATTAGTTACCAAGAGATCTTAGATCATTAGCAAGTGCTGCTTTGGATAAGAAAATACTACCACAGATATAGCATATATGCTGAAGAATGAAAAATGATCTGGTATTGAGGTTATGTCATCCTGAAGACTGTTTCAAGATTGCACAATGAACCCTCTTTTCCTTGAATACTTTACAAGCCTTGTTTACTATTTCCCTCTACACAAATTTATTTTCTGTCAATCTTTCCCAGTCCTAAACATCAATAAAAAGAGTTTTGACAGTTGTTTTAACAACATAAACCATGTTTTATTTTGTGCTTTGGCTATTTATATTATAGTAACTCTCTGCAAAATAATTGCTTAGATAATCTATAAATGACCCAATTATAAAGAATAAGTGGGAGCATTGCCAAGGGAATATTTTCACAAATAACTCTTTCTGACTAACTGATAACTGCATGAAACTTCAAGTTGCGGTTGGCCTATTTACCAGGAATTTATTTTGAAATATATATATATATATATATATATATATTCCCTGTGAACAGTAACGAACAATAACTTGCATTTTCATGCAATCATCAGGTAGTCGGCAAGTGTTATTTGGGAAAATACTTCCTTGGCAAGTTCAAGATGTTACAAGGGTAGCTGATGTGTACATACTATGCATACACGAACCAAACTCACCAAGGGAGGGATAGAGAGAGAAGTAGAAATAGAGCAGTGAGAGACTTATCACATCCTGCCCGTGAGAGAGGTTGGAGAATAAAAAATAATTCTACTTCAACAAACATTCAGAGATGCTTTTGAAGTGTATTAAGACAGGAAAGCAAGGACTAGGTAGCTGCCGCCCAAATATGGCTACAGTAACCCATTTTCATCCTGCTCTGGCTCTTATAAAAGTAGAGGATAGCATAAGAAATCAGGTACTTAATGGAGTGGCACACAGAGCTGATCTTTTTACCTGCATCTTTAGCAATGGCTCATATATAGGAATTCCACTTGAGGCTGGATGTGAGTATGAGATCTAATATTCTCTAAAGGTACGGTGCCTCCTCAAGGGGACATTCGTTCATCATGACTGACAGTAGTTCAGGGTCTAATTTAACTAGTTTGGTTTTTGAGGCATTGAATGTAACCAGCCAGTTTTTTCACCCCACTGGAAAGTTAGTGTTAGATCGGAAGAGAGAGATGATTCTATTATAGTTCTGTGAAGACCTTGTGCAGAACTCACTGCACTTTTCAGAAGAACTGATAACACAGAAATGGTGCACAATGTGTTATGAAGTTTTCAATTAGCCCTATAGCTGGAGAAAGGTGGATTAATGTCTTATCCAAAGGCATTACCATGAAATGAACCAACTAGAATTGGAACTTAGCTTGATTTTACTTTTCACACACACAATATATATATATATTTTGTTTCACCCTAAGCAAGGTGATAATATAGGACACAAGGAGTGACAGAGAATGAGAAAACTTTAGTGATGAGATAAGACAATAATCAAAAAGTGTTCAGGAAGACAGAAGAAGGTGATTGGCATTGCATTGAAATTTTTGAAGATTGGCAGGAAAGCAAGAAATCAGAAAGGAGTTCCACAGACAAGAAGTGCAAGAAAAGAAACTATTAGAATAGAACAGATGGTTGCATATATAGCTAGTTCAACAGTAAACTGGTGAGGCCCAGTTGCCAATCTAGTAGCACAATTAAATTTATCCATTCGAGGCACCAAGGAAGAAAGCTCATCAATACAAATGCCAGGAAAATATTTGTAGAAAAGACAGAGAAGCCATGTCACATCAGTGACAAAGTGACTGAAGTCAAGATACCAGACAGGTCAGGATCGATTACATTACAGATGACATGTCTTAAATCAAAATCCAACTATGCCGATAGCTATATAAAATTTTGTGAAGAACTATTTATAACATGAATATCATAGTTCATATTAAAAACTACAAGTAGAAGATTAGTAGATATTTAATTTTCAGTGTTTATTATGATTGAATATACTAATCAAGTTTCAACAGTTATCCTTTTTTAAAATTGTCAAACTGTTCAATATTACAAACATTTGAGTAAAATAGATGAGAAGTGTTTTTAATTTCTAAATAACATAGAATGAAAAAGAATGAATTTAAATAAATTCTCATACTCTTTATAAATTGTGAAACTAATTAGATCCAAAATATTTAATGTGTGCACCTGAACAATAGGGTTGAACTTAAGATAGACAGTTCCTTGTAGGATGCAATTCCTGGTTGTTCCTACTAGAATAAGGTTTCCTTTGCCTTGACTAAGAGTTCGAACAGGACCAAACTGCTCAGGAATCTGAAATATGAGAGACAGAAAAAATGATTGACAAATTGATCTTGTGAATTAATCTGTAAGAATTTTAGATAAAAGGAAAAGCAAAAAAAGGATTTGTGAGATTTATCAATCCTATAACAATTAAGATCAGTTTTTAACTAAAGTTTTACAGATATTACAGAAATCATAAAAAAGGGATTAATAAAAAGTAAGGGTTTCTTATTGAATCAACCATAATGCACTTTATATTCAATAATTACTTTAAATTAATATAAAAAAAATCTATTGATAATATTTTAAAGGTTTACTTTTCAAGTAAACCTTTAAAATATTATCAATAGATTTTTTTTATATTAATTTAAAGTAATTATTTCATATTATTATGATGGCTTAAAATTAAGCTGATCAAAGTTACAAATTTTGGAAGATGAGAATTAAGCTTAAGAATTATTTGAGTCAGAAACCTAGAATATTTTCATAAGTTAAATGAATTTTTTTTTCTAGAAGAATAACTGAAGATTTGTATATTATTAAATATAGATGTGTATTTTATGTGACTAACATAAGAATATAAGACTAACATAAGAATACTAATGAAAAATGTTTAAAAGTAAAACACTGACCTCAGTCAAATTTCCAGTTTGTTTGTAGGAATTTCCATCCCACTCCACAATTCTTCGGTCTTTGCCACCACCAGAAAGGAGGAGGCCATTCTTAAGGACACAAAGGGAAAAGACACCACCTTCATGGGCACCCAAGATAGCTTGGCTTATGCGATTGCCACCTTAAACAAAAAGAAAGAAAAGTCATTAGTTATAGCTCAAATTTATATCATTATTAATACGAACAAAAAACCTTGTTCTGTTCTTTCAACTGTTGTCTTTTGTGATGATTTATTCATTTCAAAAATATATGTGCTGTATACAAGGGGGTAGCGAAAAAAAAAGAATATCGCTGAAGTTTGGAAAGTGGATTAGGGTGAACACTTTTCAGCATCCCCCCATAAACACACTTTGTGTGTGTATGTGTGTTATCTGTTTGCTTTATTGGCAATTCAAGACCTGAAAAACATTTTTATATATATTAGAATTTTATAACCTAACCTCCATTAATGTTAAATGTGTAATTATTATGCATTCAATAATAATGGAGCTTGGGTAGGGTTATAAGATTCTTTTTTCAGATTAACTAAATGGAATAAACACAAGTAATTTAAATATTGACTTATAATTACAAATATACTAAAAATAAATTGAAATTAATGATAATATTCTGTTTAAAAGATAAAAAGAACATTAGAACCCTAAGTTATGACCTTTCTGCATAAATATTAAAAATATGAATTGAAGCTAAATCTAAGATCTTGAAATTGTTTCAGTATCTAATTATCCAATGTATTTTACAATTTATCATAAACTCAATGTCAAAATTCTGTTTGTTTTTTTTATAGATATCAGTAGTTGTTTCAATTCTCTGTATTATTTAATAGATGTAACAAGGTTTTTGTTATAAAAATAGTTAAGATATTGGTAATTACTGCATTCCCCATAAAACAAATCCCCCAATAAAAGTTTATTATAACATTTTATTTTCAATAGAAGAACATTTTTTGCTAATGTTAATATTTATTATTATTTGTCTTGATCATAATTACTTTTACTTTCTGCCTCATTTTTTTTCTACTTGTTTATAAAAGAATTTAAAATTAATTTGATATTTTTTACTTATGATGGTGAGAAAGAAACAAAATCCACTCAAAGAAGAATCACATTTGTTTACAAACCTTTACACCAAACAAATATATTTCCATTGGAATCTCCTGATAATACATCTCCATTGTCAGCAAATGCCAAACACAGAATATACTTAGGTTTCTCATGTTTCTGCAAGAAAAGAAAGTGTACTTTCACTATATACAATTTAAATAAAAAATAAAATACAAATATTTTTGTTAACCTCTGTCTGAATTATAAAGAAAATAAGCTTGATTTTCTTGTGTAGATCAGTAAAATGAAAAGTCTTGATATTAATCAAGAAACTACATTTTATCATTAATCCAATAATCCAAGATATTGAGAAAAGTAGTTGTGTTGCAGTTTTGGCAAAAAGGAGTTAAATCCAAACATTTTATTGTCATTTGTGCTGTCTTCTCAAAGTGTTTATGCTCCATATTCTCTTAGGATTTTTTTTTTAAATCATTATAAAATGCCCCTTAGATAAATGACTATTCCCAACCAAAACTGTTTCATTTAAATAGTTTGGACATAACCACTTCTGATTGTCACTTTTTTTTTTTATACAGTCTTAAGTAATATTTAGCAAAGAAGTTTATTTTGTAATCACATGTGCATTTACAGTGAATCTTTATTTTTTTAAAGCTGTATTATTGTTTAGGTTTCTCTTCCTGTAATGTTCACTTTTCATGATGATTATTATTACATACCCATTTTTTGACTGTACTTTTTCCTGTTTTTCAAAATGTCACTCACTTTGTATCATTATAAAAGACCATGTGTTACAGTCAACCTATTAAACTTCATTTCAAGTGTACAAACACTGTATATATATTGATAACTAATGATTGAAAGAAACATGAACATTGGCAAAGCAGGATAATATTGAAAAGAGTTGAAGTAAGAGAATGTTCTTTTCACATTGAAACTAAAGAGTCCAGGAAACAAAACTAGAATGGATCGAAGAAAATATGACTATGCATGTGTAGATAAATAGAAAGTTAAAGATTGCAATCATTGCAGATGTTAAATAAAAATTAAATTTTTTCTTACATCAAATATTCCCATCTTCTTAGTAAGAGCACCTCCTTCCAATGACCAGAAAGAAATGTGTCCTTTACCACATGTTACAATGGTATTTCTTTCTGATGGATGAAATTCAGCTGCCAATACTGTTTCAGTTGAACTCTGAAAAATAAAAAATAAAAATAAATAAAAAGGGGGCAAATTTTTTAAAGGAGAATAAAATACTATGATTTTGAAAATAAATGTAGGGTATGATGTGTGATTAATTGTGAAGTTGTTAAATTGAATATTCTTGAAAAGAAAATAATGACAGATAAAAACTGAAAAAGAATAAATAAAAATAACATGTTAACAAAAGTCAGCCTTTTTGTTTGTTCTTATCAGAATGTTGAAACTTATTTAAAAAATTATTTATGGCAAGTAACAGTACCCAAGAGTGACTTTAATGAAAATAAAGTTAAGTAGTAAAAGCACCGGAAAAAATACTGTACAGTAAATAATGAAAGGGTAAATCCATACATCTTTGGTAGAGATAAAGTGTTTTAACCAAGTAATTGGGCAGACACTGATTGAAATTATAATATCTAATCAAAAAGCAAACATTTGGTCTAGTTAAGAGATTAATATAATCAGTAATATTTACAAACAATTTATAATTAGGATATTAAGTAGTTTAAGTAGTTTATAATTTAAAGGTTTCTTATTTAGAAGAAAAAAAGATAAATTTTTATTCATCATTTTATCATTGAAGCATCAGATGTTAAATACAATTTTTAATTTTCTGTTCTCTAGAATCATAAAACAATCGGACAAAAAAATTCAACATTAAATGAATCATTAATAATTGTTTCTATTCCTACTTACTTTTGTTTCTGTGACTTTGTGAGCTTTTTCTTTGCTGATGTCCCACACAGAGATCACATGCTCATTGGCCTCATCCACAGCCACAAGATGTTGTCCACCATCCTGCTCAAGCAGTACAGAAGATACTGTTAATTCATGATACTAAAACCTTATTATAATTTAGAGTAACAGAGAAGGCAACCACATTAAAAAGTTAATTAAATGATTAAAAATACACCGAAATAAGAAGGTTCATTTCATATTTCATTATACTACTAAAAATTAATTGGATCTTTAAAATAAACTTGTATCTGTTAAGTTTTAAATTATACATATCATTTTTTAAATTCCATCTCCCTTCAGGACATGGGAGATGATGGCTCTCCACAAATTCCATTTCTTTATTGTCTATGATTTGTGATGATTTCTTGAGAAAGATAATGGAATGATTTTTTTTATTGCCTTTTACATTGTTTTAAACTCATAATAGAGCCCAGTCTGTTATTTAATCCATATTTGGAAGGAAAGAAAAGATGTATTTATGCCTTTCTCAAACAAACTAAGTCAGAATTTGAATTTAACTAACCAATTCCTCATTATCCACACATAATTTTAAATATAATTAAAATATAAATTAGCAGAATATGTTAGGTCATTTTTATATGGGCATTTAAAATTTTTTGAAATGAAAGTTGTCTAAATTTTTTAGAGGAAGTATTTTCATTAAAGTTTTATTATTTTTTCTCTTGAAAAACTCATAAAAAATAAAAACAGAAAATTATTGTTTCACACTGATTAAAAATTTTGCTAAAATATGTGAATACTATGTTCATATTGGTTATGAAGTGTATTGTAATTTGGGGCGAACAGTATCAACTAGAATTGCTTTGTTTTGGAATAAAAGGAAATAAAAGCAAAAATGTCATATTGATGAGCATAAACCTGATCAACTCAAATCAGAGTTTCAGAACAATATCTGCAAGCCAAACCAGATGTGTATGTGCAGAACACAAAGAATTCAATGTTTCATTGCTGAGGACTAAATAAAGAATTAACCTGCCTGCCTGACTCCAGTCCCATTGAACTTCATCCTAAATTAGTAATGTCAGATAAATGCAGTGTTCAGTCTCCAATATCTTAAAGGCTACCAACTAACCAACCAATGTCAATTACAAACCTGAGTGATTGATGCAAATTGCTCCCCTGTCATCTTGAATTTGTTAAGAGCTGTAACCTTTGGTCATAGCTCTTAACAAATTCAAGAGTATGTCAAAGACAGCAGTTAGTAAATGGTAAACTGATTCTAGATATCTAGATGTCTGAGATCAAAGAAGTTTCAGTTATGATAACTTCCTTCCATGATAGACAGCAGAAAATTAATTGTATCTATACCTTATAAGAAATCATGAATGGGAACGTTTTATGACATTCTACTTAGGTCAAAATAATAAAAGAAAATTAATCGTTATGCCACTGTTAAAATATATTCATCAGGCAAAATATACTGAGATAATTTCTCACTTCAATGTATCTAAACATTTTTAGTATAAATTCAAAATTATATTCATTGTTTTACTAATCATCATTGGTTATTCTTCATTTCTAAGTATTTCATTCTTGTGCTATACTCATCCTTTCACAAGTCTCATCCTTTCATGTCTTTGATGGCTGGCAGGACTGATTCTTGTATAGAACATTCATCCACTCAGGTTATACTTGATTGTTGCATTGGTTTATTCTGTTTTATGACATATCAACACCTCAATGGGTTATTTAATACCAACAAGATTTTTAGGATAGGTTCATATGAATAGAACATGTATTCTTTGTAAGAAATCAGTTTCATTGACATATTTTTGTAAAGAGGGATTTTGTTGAGAGTCAAATGTATTGCTGGTATTTTTACTGTAAAAACCTATTTTTATACTTTCATAGTGTTTTGACACCAGTTTGTGGGGGTGTTAACTATTTACCCATAGCTGGGAACCTAACAGGTGCTACCACCCTAGTGATTGTTGGAGCCAATCCTAGTTTATTCTGCAATGAAGTTTTAAAATTTAGCATAAAGTAATTAGTGTCTTTTCATAATATATAAGAAAATAATTTACACTTTTAAATTGCTATTTGAAGAAACTTTACAAAAGACAACATTCTTTTTCTTTTACACAGTAATTCTTTCATTGTGCAACATTTTAGCAATGTAAACAGTGCAAAATTTGGTTGAACACTTTATTAACAGTAAATGAGTTTTCCATCACACTAGAATTCACCATGTCCTTTCAAGCTACAATAAAAATACATACCAGCTTGGAGAAGGACAAGCAGCACACTGCCCTCTCGAAGTCACCAATCCCAATGACCATCAGGGTTGTAAGACGAACAGACTCCCAAATTCGAATGTGAGGCTACAAAAGAAGAAGGTAAAATGAAAATTGTATTTTTTTATAAACACAATGTGATTTGTAAAAGATCATTCCAGAGACCAGATATTATGAAAATGAAACATTTAAATTGACTTTTGTCTCTCTTGCTTAAAAAATCCATTTTTTTTGTACATTTAAAAAGAAAACAAATAAAAAAAGTAAAAATTAAACATTTCTCAAAATTATATACTTACCAATAAAACTAAATAGAAAGAATGTATGTTATGTTTTTCCAGTTTTTACATTAAATTTCTATTAAAAAGATTGAGGATATTTACTGACAGATTTTAGACATTAATCATAACATTTTATAAATAATTAGCATTTGTATTTTCCTAGCAAATAAAAGGAATTAATGAAAATATTAATTTTTACAAGATGGCTTCCATTTGTGAAAAGTCATGTGAAAGAATGCACATTTTATATATTAGCTTATAAAATATTAGCTGAGGAAAAAAATATTTAAATTTAAAAAAAATAATTACAAAAAAAAAAAAAAAGAATAATATATAAAAACTATTATAGTAATCCATGACACAGGTCTGACAGCCACAAAAAGAAAAAATAAATTCCTAGCAATTTAAATACAGCAATTTAGTTTTAATTTGTTGACCTTATAACTTCAGTGGCTTATGCACCTCCCTAAAATTTGTTTGTTATATTGTCTGGTGTGTTTATTACATTATGTTGTCTATATTTTTATATTGTCTTGTGTAAATCTGGTTTGTTTTACTTCCCCTATCACCTCTATTAATAAACCTGTTGATTATCAATATTGGTCATCAATGTGATCAATGGGAACAAAGGCATTCATTCAGCCATAAACATGAACACATATCTACTGAATGAATTCTAAATTTGAAAGGCAGACCAATAACATAATGACAAAACTAATTAAAATGAGAATGTATTTCCGATCAACTGAAAAGTTTTTAATCTAATAATTTGTTCAGTTTACTAAAGTGTATTTGCATATATTTTGTATGGAACTTTTTGCTGTGATATTTTTGTACTAACATTATCTCCTTTGCACTGGTAAGGCCAGGTGGTAATGTCTTTGTTATGATAATAGTGAATTGTTTGAAGATGTTTACAAAGTAAGGAGGTGAAATGACCAACACATGAAAGAACAGAGTACAACAATAATAACCAGAAAAGAATTAAAGACTTGCATATAAAGAAAAAAAAATCAATAATAGTAAAGACTTAAAATACCAATTTCATATATTTCTTCATTATTTACAGTGTGGATAAACTTGTGCATGCATATAATCTCAGTGGAAGACTGAAAACATACAAGACAAAACATTTCTTTAAAAAGATTATTTTGAAATACTGAGAAATGAAAACAGTTTTGTTTTATTTTATAGATGTCCAGCATGGAATGATAAGTACTAAATTACTTCCTCAGACAAAATAAAAAATCATCACCAATAACCTTTTAGATTAATTTGTTTACATAAAGACCTATCAATCAGATTGGTATGCTTTCTGTGGTTATCTTTCCATGAAAAAGAAAGAAAAAACAAACAAACATAAAGCTGCCTGATTCTCTCCAGAATTTGTGACTCTTTATACTAAATGCAAGCAAGCATGAAAGAGAAAATATTTTCAACTTTGAGCACAGCTAAAGTGGCAATGAAGACGACCAAAGGTCATATTATTTAAGGTTCAATACCAAATATTATACCAAATCGGCACTAGTTATTTTGTGCAAATATTCTGGGACAGGATCTGGAATCTCAAACTTACCATATAAATGTTCACACACAATTTATACTTTGTGTTAAAATTACCAGTTTGGATTTTACAAGCAAGTGAAATCTACAATTAAGGGTTGATTCAAATGGGATTAACCATGTAAATTTAATGTGAATGGTCAGACAAGTGACCAGAAATGTGCTATGGTAGTTTGGTTTATACAAAATAAAATCTTTTATTTTGGGCTAAAGTTTGAAAGAGAAGGACAAAAATAACATTTTGAGAAGAGGACTGAAATTGGCAAAAAATAAAATTCATCCATCTTTATATAAAACAAAATAATATATTGGATGACTAATAGTTTGTTAATTTGAAAATAGTTACATTAAACAAAATTTGAATTTTGACTTCAATTCATCTCTTGAGTTCTGGATTAATTTTTCAGATTGGATTAGATTAAGTCAAAAGACTATAACACATTAGGTTCATTTATAACTGGGAAAGTAGAAATATTTTAAAAAAATAAATATTAACTTTTGATTAGTCATAATCTGAATATCATTACAAATATTTGCTTGTTGTATTGAGATTTGAAAATCTGACAAAGCTAAGTTGAAATATGAAGCTTAGAAAATATATCATGATCCACAATTAGTTCTTAATGACTGCTTGGGTAAATCCATTTAAATGACTTTAGAAATAATTCATTGAATGATTCTAGAAATTGATAACAATGATTTAACAAAAATATTTAAAACTTTTATTTTGAAACTTAAAATAAAAATGCTAAATCATTTCATTATTTATAAAATGCACCAAGATGAAACTTAAAGAATCAATGCAAGCTATAAAAATATTTTTAATTATTTAAGATTATTCAACTATTTTCAGTAAACATTAACCAACATTATCTCATTGTGTTATAGTTGTAAAGTAATATTCCAGAGAACAGAAGCAAACTGTTGTTTGTAACACTAACTTTTCTATTTTCTCTCCAATTCATATCAAGAAAGGAATTAGAGGGAAACAGAAATAAAATATCAAAGAGAAATAAATTTAGCCATGATAGAACATTCAAGAATTAATAGTTTTGAAAGTAAAAATCTTGTAAAATTTACAACAGCTTAAAATTATATAATACTATATTTTATAATTCTTATAACATTACAAGAGATTAAATGATTCAATGAAATGGTTTTAAGTTTTTAAAAGCCAAAAATCCCTCAGCAGCCAACAACTTAGAACTAAAAAAATTGTTTCTTGTTTTAGAGAATAAACATAACATTGCTCCTTTTCATAGACTGTTAACATGATCCCATCTTTCAATAAAGACATCAAGTACTGATAACTTAAAAGACTTAATTATTTGCAGACAAAAGCTATAACATGTCTGGACAGGCCACTGATTGAGGTGACAAAATTTGCTCCTGTCAGAGATAAACAGCTTATTCTTTCCAAAATAACCACGTAGGGTGAAGTGGATTCAAAGAGAATGCAAAATTAAGCAAAACTAATCAGATTTAAGCTGGGATTTATACAAGATCTTTGACGTTGCTAAAGATAATTTACAAATGAGAGTTGATTAAAAGAGAAAGAAATAAATTGTTTCTTATATCAAAATACAAAAATTATAATAACATTTTATAATTGCCAATAGAAGAGAAATTAATTTACTCTCAATCAAATGTAACATTTTCATAGATGTAGATAATAGGTAAGTAATTTCCAAAAATTTAAATTTAAGTCAGAATGTATAACCATGATAAGATTTTTCTCTAACACAAGCATTATATAAGTGTGCAGGTATGCAGAAAATAGAAAAGAACACGTTGGGTGCATAATCCGGGGTTCCTTAGTATTTTTGTTTTTATTTTTAAGAAGACAGTGCTCCATACAGAAGTAGAGCTTTATTATAATAATATTTTTTTTTTTTTTTTTTTTGTTTTGAAGGAATCATATTTTAAACAAAATATATATATATATATATATATATATATATATATATATATATATATATATATATATATAGTGGTATATCTTATACAAGTTAAAAAAAGTTGGAGAGCGATTAGCTTTTAGTTTAATTTTTATAATTTTATAATGTACTTCTAAAGAGTACTTTCTAACAAAACAACTGAGTTCAATCCTTGCAAATGCAGCTTGGCAGCAAATGTTGTCAAAGTTTAAAAAAAACTACTGCAAAATTGCATAGTGGTTTTGGCAACTCAGAGAAAATTTCTTATTTAGAGTTTATGAACATGACCTTGGGTCACACTTGGTGTAATTTAACTAAATCTATTTTTTATAAAGAAATTATTTCTATTATGAAATGAAAAACTGTTCCAAAGAGTTTACAATTTGAGAGTCACTAAGTTTTATAACTTTCAAATAAAATCTGATTTTGTTTAGAAAAAATTTGGAATTGTGTACACGGAAGAATTCCTCTCTCATTTTATATGGTAGTATTTTGCTCTTTACTTTCTGTGTCACCACTTTTGCTGCCTTAGCCAGATTAGATTAAGCTAAATATATTTTAGACCAATTATTATTTAATACAAAAGGCTGAGTAACACACCAGGAATATTCATCAATCTCAGATTTTGCTCTAACTCTCCTATTTTGTGTGATGAAGAGCAACAATTTAAAGGATGAATTCCTATACCAAAATATTAAATCTTCTCACAAAGCATACACATACTTATTGATGGGATAGAAATTAATGTTTCAAGATAGCTGTAATTAACTGATACATTTTTGTTTTTTTCTTTTATTATAAATGGGTATATATTTTTAATACATATTTGTTGGCATTTTCCTTTGATGAGTGTCAACCTAAAAGGCTTTCAGGGGAGAAATAAAATAAAATAATGAAAATCAAACATGTATGGATTAATTATAGGTATACTGAAATTCTGTATGACTAAAAGATTAATGTTGCTTGTGTTCATTGAGTCAAGAAATTAAAATCTGTCTTCAGTACAACATTTATAGGTATTTTTTGGATAAAGAAGATTAGTTTATGATAGTAATAAAACAATACATATGACAAGGGCTATTTATTGTTTTAAAATTTGTTTTAGATAATTCTTTATCTTTAAGAAAACTTTGTAGCTCTTTACTTTCATGCAGTATGACAGTGCATAACACCTTCATGCTGCAGTAAAACAACAAGAGCATTAAGGCATTACAATTATTGCTTTTGTATTTATTTTTTTGGAGTCATTAACTAAAAAATTAAATATTATACTTGTTAACTTAGTATTGCATTTAGAGATATGCTT